AAAGACAGAAACACCCAATTACCGGTGGGGGCACATTTCTCACAGGAGGGCCACTCTCTCTCCAATCTCTCAGTCCTGATCCTCAAGAGAAACTTACATAACACTTCCCAGAGACGAGCCTATGAACTCCATTTCATCAACCTCCTGGATACTAGAGATCATGGACTAAACATAGACATTGGATTTTTGACACATTATAATCTGCCTGACAACTGACTCCCCAGCCCAGCCCCTGGCTTCTTTACTTTTCATTCCATCCAGGAAGAGCACACACCAACTGCTGAAACTTCCTTAGCCTGACGAAAGATTTTTGAACCCGAAAGCTTGCTTAATAACTATTCTCCAACCATTTGGGTTGGTCTAATAAAAGATATCAAATTCACCCAAGGAACCTTGACAGACAGACTTAGGTTTTTATATATTGGAATGAACAGGCTAGCAAATTTAATATCTTAGCTCATATATTTTTATGGCAGCTTTATAAGGCTGACATCAATTGCTCATAATGGCATATGGCAAACTATGGGGAGACAACATCACAGGGATTATCTGAGTAAATTTGAATAGTGTTACTTTCTAAGTATGTGTATAAAATCAAATTTACTGCTTACTTTAAACTAAGTTAAATTTAATACTAGTGATAAATTCAAATAAATGTTTAGATACCAACTATTTGAGGTGCTCCTTTTTTAAGGACCTGTTATATCAAAGAGCTCTCCTGTACTGTAAACTTGTTAGTATGGCTGTCATTCTTTTCTGTTTCAAGTCTTGCTGATTCCTGGAAAACTGATTTAGAATTCAATTTGTAATACAAGGCCTGTGGATTTTCAAACATGGACAGCCTAAACAATTATATCATGTAATGAGCTTATAGATGAAGTAAAACTTATTTAATGCCAGGTGTATCTCATGTGTATGTTGATTTCTTACTATTTTAATTTAAAAAAATGTTTGTTCCTCTAAGAGAATCAGATTAATTTTTCAGGTTTTAGTTTTCTTAGTCTTACATTAACAATAGTTTCCATGAATTAAAAGTTTTAAATGTATTTGCATGTATGTTTCATTAGAATTTTTGGGCTTTGATATATGAATCTTTTGTATCATAACATGCCCAGATATTTACAATGACATTCTTAGGTTGCAACTTGAAATAATTGTTTGTTCAAAATAATTTTTTTCTTGAACATTTATAAATGCAATTTGATTGGTTTTAGTGTGCTGCTGTAGTTCAGCATCAGTGATTTTGAAAGAAAAAGTCAATATGGAGACCAGTAATTTGGTTTGTTTCTCTTTTGGGGTGAACAAATGACATTGCACAAATTAGAGCCATTTTGGAGAACCATATGATATAGTATTATATAAATTTCCTTTTATTTATTTTTCATGACTAATTTGTAAGTAATTGTGGTATATAAGATCTTTATCTGAGTAGTATTTGTTAGGTGGTTTTGTTTTTTGGTCATTACCTGAAAAATAATTTCTCCACCCAGTCCTGTTGCTACACTCTGAAAGATGTCCTGGACACTTTAATAAATCAGATAAATGTTGAGCCTATTAAATGTTTTTGTTTCAAAAGAAAAAAAAACCAGTTAAGCTCCCACACACTGGGATGTTGCTGTGAATGCCAAGACAGGCTTTTCTGTACAGCCTTTATATCCATGAAATATCTGTAGGCAAACGGTATCTACATGCTCCTTCCCTCCCCTGTCCCCTTCCACCACAACAGACTTACCAGCTGGAGGCAGCTCTCCACGCTGCCGGTTCTGCTCCTCGCTGCCTGAATGCTGTGCTGTGGCTGCGCGCAGCATGGGTATTTATTGGCCCCATCAGGCTGTTTTCTGATACAGCCCATTTTCTTTATATTGGTACCAATCCAATATTGGACTGATGTATTGGTGCACATCTAGTACCTACATATCAGATCTTAGAAGTCATAGAGCAGGACCCTATTCTACTCAGCGCTTATTTAACAACATAATACTCAGCCTGCGCTAAGAGTGCCAGACCCTGCCCTTGACTCTTGGCAGCAATAAAAATGCTGGATTGCTGTGCCAAGTTTGTTTCCTGACAGTCAGATTCAAGAAAAGTATCAACATTCTTGACTTGAAGAAACCTACTTATATATTAAACTGGCAAGGGACATAAAAGGCAATAAAAGGTACAAGTATTTTGAGACTAAGAGGAAGAGTAAAGTAGGTGCAGGTCCCTTATGGAATGCAGAAGGCAGTCTAGTTTCAGATGATGCAGGGGCTGAAGTGTTCAGTGCCTTTTTTTACTTCAGTCTTCACAAATAGGGGCAGCTTTCAGATGGTGAGTGCAGTAGGCAGCAAAGATAGGGAAGGAGTCAAACAGCTTAGAGTAATGGCAGAACAGGTCAGGGGTTACTTAGAGATGCTTTCAAGTGGGCATGGCCAAATGGGTTATACCTTAGGGTATGGAAGGAATTAGCGGAGGTAGTTTCAGAGCCATTAGCCATTAGAACTCTTGGAGGTTGGATAAGGTCCTGGAAAATTGGAAAAGGGCAAATACAGTGCCCATCTTTAAGAAAGTGATGGAGGATCTGGGGAATTACATACCAGTCAGTCTGGTGTTGATACATAGAAAGATTACGCAGCAGATCCTCAAGAAATCTGTTGTGAAGTACCTAAAAGACAATGAGGTGATCAGGAACAGTCAGCATGGATTCACTAAGAGCAAATCATGCCTGACCAACCTAATTTCCTTCTATGAGAAGGTGATAGGCTCCGTGGATGGGGGAGAGCAGCGGATGTGATATACCTTGACTTTAGCAAGACTTTTGATGCCATATCCCACAACATTCTCATTAACTAGCTAAGGAAACACAAACTAAATAAAAGTACTGTAAAGTGGATGCAGAACTGGTTGCATTATTGTGCTCAATGAGTAGCCATCAGTGAGTCAATTTGTAGTTGTAAGGAAGTATCAAGTGGGGTTTCCTAGGGTCTGTTGCAGGTCTGATATTGGTTAATATCATCATTAATAATTTAGACAATGGAATCAAGTGAATGCTTAGTAAATATGTTCAATAACACCAAATTGAGTGGAGTTGCAGATGCTCTGGAGGGCAGAGCAAGGATCCAGGATGATCTGGATAGACTGGAAACATGGTCCGCAGTCAACCAGATGAAGTTCAACAAGGAAAAGTGCAACGTCCTTGGGAAAAGTGCACTTGGGACAGAATAACTGCATGCATAAATGCAGACTAGGGAATGACTGGCTAGGCTGCAGTACTTCAGAGAAGGACTAGGGATTATAGTGGACCATAAACTCCTTAGGAACCAACAGTGTGCTCTTGCTGAAAAAAAAGGCCAACTGTATACTGGGTCACATTAACAAAAATGTCACTTGCAAATCAAAGGATGTGATTCTTTTGCTGTATTCAGCACTGGTGAGGCCTCATTTGGAGTACTGTGTCCAGTTTTGAACACTGCAAGAAGAATGTGGACAAATTGGAAAGAGTCCAGTGGAAAGGAAGAAAAATAATTAGAGGCCTGGGAAGCATGATTTATGAGGAAAGGCTGAAGGAGCTAGGGTTATGTAGTCTGTAGAAGACCAGGCTGAGAGGGGGTTAATAACAGTCTTTAATACCTGAAGGGCAATTATAGAGAGGATGGAGATGGGCTTTCCTCTGTGGCCATAGGAGACAGGACTAGGAGCAGTGGCATCAGACTTTAGCAGGGGAATTATTTTGGGAGATCAGGAACAACTTTCTGACCAGGAGGATGGTAAAGTACAGGAACAGGCTTCTTAGAGACGTTATGGACTCTCCATCCCTGTAAACTGTCAAGAGCAGATAGGACAGATCCTTGTCTGGATTGATTTAGTCAGGAATGATCCTACCTTGAGCAAGGGGCTGGACTAGATGACCTTGTGTGGGCGCTTTGAGCTTCACTTCCATATGATTTTCCACATGTCTCATCTCACTAGACTTTGCTAAGGTTTACTGCCAGTTACCTTGACTTTTACATTTCAAGACCTTGTGTTTTTTCATCACATGACCCATTAGGAGATTTTCATCAAAATAATAGCAATGATGGTTGCAGCTTTAAAAAAGAGGGGTAACCTTGCTGGTCTCAGCAAAATTTCTTTTTTGGAGACATCTGCAGTAGGTTCCACATCATTTTTGGCTATTCTTAGACTTGGGGCTAAACATGTAAAAGGTTTTTAGATTGGTGCGTATCTGTTTGAAGACTCAGGTCTTCTCCATTCTGGAGTTTCTCTTAAATCACGTTGAAATAGCTTTTTGTCTAGCAATCTTAGTTTTTGAATCTGAGTGTCTAGTGACTGATGTAAGGCTTCTTTATGCATTCCCATTCCTTTCAACACCAACTTAAGGAGTCTAACTAATCTTAGGTCCTGTATTAAATTTCCTGGCTTTCTCTGGATCCTAGCCTTTCTCTTCAACAGTCTGAGTGGACCACTCTTGAATCCTGCATTTATCTTTTTTCTCTTTCATTTCTCCCCTTATCTCCCATATGTTTCTTGGAAGATTTCATTTCCAGTGGCTTTCACTTTGGCTTGTTGCATTGGACAGCTTATGCCTTACTCTCTAAGCCCCTGATCTAATTTTTGCACTTTAAGTAGCATTTCATATTCTAGTTCCTTTGTCAAGAAAATTCAACATTTTTATGTTATAAATTTCCTTCCACTTGTACTAACACTGAAGCTAAAGTTGGGTTAGAAGGCATCCTTAAAATTCCACTGTCTTCTTAAGAACAGCTCACCACTTTCCCCCAGCAAATTGTGTTTTCCTGTAAGAAGGCATCTCAGTGTCACATCTCTCTGAAACATAAGGTACTTGTACACTTTTGTCAGGTCTGGAATGGACCAAATAAGTCACTGAGTTCAGTCTTCCACAGCTGTAGGCAACCACTGAGTTGATGTTAAGTTGAGAGAGTATACAGCTCTGTTACCTCCTGTGTACCCCACAAACCACCCCCCACCCTTTCCCACTACTAGCAGCCTGTTATGAACCTAAGATGTTTAGTACAAAGAATCCAAACTCCCAGTACCTCAGTGTACCAGAGAAAGAGAGCAGAAGAGACCAAGAATGCAACCAAAATGTTAAGATCCTGCAATGGTAAGGAATTTGTTACATGAGGTGCACCCAGATGGGTCCAAGGAAATGCACAGTCTCCCCCCAGATGTGGTTTTCAGTTTAACCCTGAACCTGCAAGACAGATGCACCAGCCAGGTTCCTGAAAGGAACAGCATATTCCCTAAAACATATGCTTAGCTTACTTGCTGTACCATAGTTATGTAAAATTATTATAAGCATTTTGGAGAGCTCAAGGGGAGCACATGAATCTGACACAGAGAAGCAATTACAGCTGTACAGTCCTTTTTTTCTCTTTCTTGCACACATAAGAGCCACAGAATTTCCTGTAGCCTAGACTAGTGGTGCTCAACCTTTTGGCAAGATGAGTGGTGTGGAGCCAGTTCACAGGCTGGACTGGACACTGCTTCTTCACTGCCCTGCATGCCAGAATTGGGCCATGGGGGATGCAGCACTGCCCCCTCTCACTGGGTTTGGGCCTCAGGGATTGGGCCTCCTTACCTGCCTTAGTTCTTTTATTATTACAGGGTTTCTGTCAAGGTTTACCCTGATTTGACAATCAGGGTAACCGCCCACTGGGCCATGAGCAAGAATGCTTTTGTTTTTTAATTCAGTTAAACCATTATACATTATTCTATGTGCACTTTATCCAGCCACCACATCTTTCAACTCTCAATTTCTGGTGGTGTCTTGTTTTCCTCCATATATGGAGCTAAGTGTTGTTGTTTTGCCGAACCTCTTGCTCTTACTTTTATTTCTTTTTCTTTTTCCTTTCCTTGTTTGTCAATTAGTTACCAGCCTATACATTATGGGAAAGCAGATCTACACAGGAAAGATTTGCTGACGCACAGACTATAGGCAATGTGGTGCAGGGTTACCAGGTTTCCTCCTACCTTCCAAAGATCTTATCTGAGAAGCATGACAGCCTGCAGTGGGAGAAAGGAGCTTGTGCTGAAAATGCTTCATCCAGTTTGTCACTGCCTGCCAGTTTGTCAGCAGTAAGAAGGCACCTTTAGTGTGCAGACTCATGTTACAAAGGTTCCTGGTCGTGTCAGTCATGTAAAGTTCATGATTTTCCAGTAGGATACTCTTTGGAATTTACTTCAGATTCTCCCACTTGCTTTGTGAATCAAGATCATTCTCAAAAGAGTGTCATTTGAACACGTGTGAAAGAGATGTCTGAATACTACAGCAATAACTGTGATGTTTGAACCTCAATAAAAGAATAAGCCCTTCTCATTTTGGGTACCACAAAATAGTCCTGAGCAAAGTTTGCACAGGCAAACTAAATAGGCCCTAAGTGGAATTCAGTTCCTAAGGCACAAAATATGATCAAGAATACCCTCACTATCCTAAAAAAGTGGGAGGTTCTGGGTTCTGTACCCCTGTTTCTGTCTCTGTTTTCCTTACCCAGTCCATCCAATTATTATTAAATGCAAAACATAGACACATGGGGGAGGGAACCAAAAACCCAGGCCTCCCTCCTTTCTAGGGCAGTGCCATCTCACTGAGTCACAGAGCCAAACTTTCTGTTGTAGCATATCTCCCGCTCTTACCTGCACAATAGGCTAGCTTGAACAGGAAGGTTGACAAGTGCTCTTAGTCCTGCTTAATCCAGGCCTGGGAGTTACAGCACTGTATGGGGAAGTGAGAGATGTAAATTCTGGGCAAACACCTTAACCATTAATGGCACCAACAGACATGGAAAAAATCTCCCAAAAACGGAGCTTTACCCAAAGTGGAAGCACATTAGTTTGACCTGGCTCCCCTGGCATCTGTATAGATTGGGCACTTCAGTGGGGCTTTTTGACTTGTACCTAAAAACTGATTCATTCAGCTTATTCAATCAGCCATTAGATAGAAGTGCCAAAAAGCCCCACTAAAGTACCTGATTTATACAGACATTGAGCAAGCCAGGTCAAACTAATGCGATGCCTCTTCTGGGCATGAGCTGTGCCTGGTGTGGGGGGTGTGCCAAGCTTAAAGTAAAGCACCCTTTTTTTTGTTTTTTGACATCTGTAAATGACCTAGTTTGTTAGGCTAAAAGATGGCAAGGTCCAGAGAAAAAAAAACAGTTATGGTTCTTCTGCAACTAACATTTCAAGGACTTGCACAGAATTGCATGCTTTTTTTAGATGAAACAGAATCATAGCTGGAGCTGATTCCCTCTGAGCTCAAATCTACTGTAATACCAAAAGGTGACTTTAGAATTACATTGGAGTAAAACATAGTCGATTCTTTCTGTTTCTCAGTTTGCCATAACCACTAATAGTTACTATGAATTAAACAAGTTAGAATACTATAAATACATTTCTGAACTGTATTTTTCTACGTCTAGCATGTACTAATAATCTTTTTTTTATACTAAAATCTCCTAAGTGTTATCCATTCAAACTGTTCTTAGAGGTGATTTGAACACTTCAGTATGTGCTGAATGTAATATCTTAATATTGTGATAGACTTCAAACTTGATAAGAGCAAATCGGATAACTTTTTGTGACCTTTTGGAGGGTGTGTCCCACAGTTTGGTAGATGCTGTCTTAGAAACTTATTACAAGTTGCCTTGAAATAGTCTGATTCCAGAAGAATTTTTCAGTTGAATTTGCTAGATATACATTTAAGTTGGTATTTACATCATTGGTTGAATTTCATCATAATAACTTTAAACATTCAAAAATCAATATTTGCGTACTGGATGATTTATAGCTGGATTATTCAGGGTTTTTCCTTTTATTGACAATTAAAGTGGTGAGAAGTTTTTCCTGTCTTCTGAGGTATTGTCCAACTTGTTTATACCTAGTGTGGTATATATCAAGCAGACTAAGTGTCTCTATGTTTTCTGGATTTCTCAAAAAGGATTCAACATGATGTCTAGAACTATGGTCTTCCTGGTTAGTGAAAATCAGTGAAGAAATACTGGGTCCCTCATTGACTAATGTTGTTGACATCTTTCTTCATAATACTAGGTGTACTGGTTGCAGTCAGAAAACCCAGTTTACAGACTCTTTGCTTAAGAAGCCATATTTCAATGCTGTCTGTTTCAAACCTCCCCTTTCTATTCCCATTGTCCTGCCCTGGCAATGTAGTCTCTCCCATAATTTGGAGTTGGCAGTAGAAGGGAATCCCATTTTACACTGGGGAGGAGTATGAGGCTGCTTTCTCACCAGTAGAAATGGTAAGGGTGGCAGTAAGAGGCTATTTGCTCCAGCAGTCAGTGCTTGGACAAGGTTCAGTGCATTCCTGTCTTCTCATAGAAAGAGGTCCTTTTGGGTTTGTGTTGACAAGACCTCCAGAACAATGGTTCTTGGAAGCAATGCCTCATTAGGATGCATTTTATAGTTATACATGTTAGTGTTTTCTTGGACTTCTTGCTGATTCAGGCAGACATTACTTTGTTAGTTACAACCTGGACATGTTCTCAACTTTTACTTGTCAACAATGATAATAAGAACCAAGACCCTTCCCTCCTCACCTTTTTTTAAATTATAGCTTGATTCTGTAGAAAATACATGTCTTGAGGAGCTGAAGCCCAGGACAGTATTGCCTATACTACTTAATCTCACACTGAGGTTTAGAAGTATCAGATAGCTAGGTGCAACTGACCATGTTGTCTCTAGCAGCCACCCTGACCTAAGTAGATCTAGAGAGAAAGGGCTTATGTACATCTTGTCATCCAACCCTCCTGAGACCTTGAGCTGATGTATTTCAATTGGAATAACAATTGACATAAGTTATTGGAATAACACAGGGTCCTTTCTCTTTTTTTCAGCTTGCTTGAGAGAGGAGCTATATGAATAGCTATTAGGCAGCCAGAGGAAAGGAATTATCTGTAAAAAACAGGAGTTTACACCTCTGTTGTGTAGAAATAAGTTTAACCAGGCCTCTTACTTGACTAAGAAGAGAGAGAAAGAGAAGCGAAAAAGATGCTGATGCTATGTATTTTAAAATGTTCTAAGATAAGGAAAAACCTTCATGCCTTGTTTTGTCTGTGTGCAGATGTTAACCTTCTCCTTTCCAGGAACCAAAAAAAACCCCACAACACTGATAGCTGTTCCCAAAACACAATGTGTTTGCTGAAAAAGTAAACTGCTTACGTGTGACAAACGAATGATCAACATCTTTCTGTTTCTCTCAAGGTTGCTTTGTCTGAACCCTGCATCTTTTCTCGCTGTCTAAAGTATAAATACACTTGTAAACTTGTAGAGGTCAGAGTTCCTTTGAGAACTTTCCTTGTGATCACTTGTATAGCTTTAAATAAACCTAGATGACTCTGCCAATTCTAATACAACCACAATGCGAAGTTTGATTTCTTCCACAGTTGTCACAACTGACAATCTCAGCTTGGAGAACACTTTTCTTGTGTGTTTTTGCTTATGATAACTCTTTTTTTATTATAAGGATCAGTTCTTGATGATCACTGTTGTCAAACTTCTACGCTGCTGGTTCAGTTTTAATAATTCTACAAAGATGTAAACTTCTCAGTATTTCTTAAGGTGCAGACAATAGGTCCTTCATTTGGCCAAGATCAACAGTCAATCAGTGCATGCTGATTAGATTGATCTACTCTTTGTCATCTAGTACAGGTAGACTTCATTTTGAATGCAGTTTCCACTTCCTCCCATCTCCCTGCATTTTTAAAGGGATGGTGTAAGTGTCTGTTTGGAGTACCATGATTTTATTGAAGCATGGTTCCCAATGTTAGATTATATAAATATGATATATATTAAAAAGGTGACATGGCAATGGAATTGTAAACAAAAAACTATAGAGAGGAAGAATAAGACAGGAGAATCTGACAGGAACTATGCATTGAAAGGAGGGGAACTCATTCCTTTTCCTGCTCCTTCTCCACCTTAAATATATTTGAGAGTCTGGCTCTTACTAAGTGTGTAAGGTTTTAATTAATACATGGTTGACAATACGTTTCTGGAAAACTGTGGCATTGAGGAATGCTCACTAATTAATGCTCTATTGTTTGACTTCATATGAATGTCAATTAGGAAGGATTTTTCAGTTAAAAATGT